CAATCTGAAATTTTTGCTGGGTTGTCTTTTTCTCAACTTTATGCTGTGGTAAGTTATTCCGCAACTAGAGGAAAGTTTTCAAAAATGAATTCTACTTCTATATTCACCCAGGAATTTTTGATGAAACCCTATGATGAATTGATCAATCCGATACGCTTTCCTGTTGCCAATGACCAAGGACAGGCTTCGACCCGAAGAAGAATTTCCTACACAAATGTTTAAAACCAAATAATTCAATTACGTTAGTATGCTTTTCTGCTGCTTATAATCATGGGAAGGAGTGAATCTCATTTCAAATATATATTCTATATGATGCTCATTTTTGGCTCTGGTCCATGAGCTCTTTGATTATTTTTTCGCGACTCGTAACTGGATTTGAGAAAATGTGAGCCTTTATTTATGCAAATATTAACGTTTCCCCCAATTGTGGACTTCAAAGTAAAAATTACCAGGCCGCAAGAGTTATTAATTATGCAGATATATTCGAAGATCAATTTGCAGAATTTTGCAATAACCCACACACATTACATATGCCAAACTCTAACTTATTGCATGCATTGGGGCATGTTGTCTAACAGAAATCTTGCATCTTTAATCACCAAACCACATTGACTTAATGAGTCATGTCTACACAGTTGAGCAGTGGATTCAAAATTACGTTTTTGTTCCATGTACCTGTCAACATGCAAAATAAACGAATTCCTAAAAGTACAGTATATCACAAAATTCAAAAAAATGTATTAACATATGAATGCCACACTTCGGAGACATTTTCATAGACTATACAGTGAGACCCCCACATGCAGACACCTTGACCTGCCGGCAATTCAAAATTGGGACACTTATTTTCCCATAAAAATTAATAGAAAAAGCCCAACATAAGGACACTGACTCAACATGGGGAAATTTTGCAATAAAATTGCAAATACATTTCAAGCCAAATTACAAGAAACAGATATTTCCAACCCTTAAATTGATGTANACAAGAAACAGATATTTCCAACCCTTAAATTGATGTAAGAAAAGTTCTTGGGCATTTCTCTCACCAATTTAACATCCATTCAGCAACTAATTGAAAAAAATACCTCCAGCATAGAGGGACTTCCTTCTCTCTTTTTCACTGGGATGTTTTTTATTTTTTTACAGAGAATGCCAACATTTCTACGTGCTGTACAGAGGTATCAAAGTTCAATTCCCCAAATATCCAGATTGCGTTGAAATATATCAATGGGAACCAGCTTAAATTGGGAGACAATTTTTATTTTCATGAAATTATGATGAGTATTTTGTACATGAAACACCACTTGAAATGTATTTAATGTAAGTCTATGATGGGGAAATGAGACTAAATTAGGGGCACTTTGACTTAGGGACACTCTTGAGATGCACCAATTACATCTGCCTCTTGGTGTCTCACTGTACTTCCCAAGATTTTCTGCTCAAGCTGTTCCTATTGCAACCATATTTCAACTTCATCATCTGTGTATTTTCGGAATTCTTAAAGCAGAAACTTGAGGCAATCATCAGTCTGAATTATTCATTTATTCACCTTAGCTATGCTGCACTGCTCTGGAAAAAATGGGAGAAAAATTAAACGAAAATTTTTCCTTCCCATGCAATAGTTATTTCCCCCAGCTCGCATCTTAAAACGACGCGTGCTTATTGCTCCGAGTCGATCCCCCCAAGGCCACAAATAACTCCTCTTGCTCACCATCAGCGGTTTCGTTACACATCATTCAATCAAAACCCGAACGCTGGGTGCATTAAAGCAATAAAAACAAAAACAAAAACAACAAATGCAAAAGTGAGGCGAAAGAATAAGAACACACAACAGCAGAGAAAAATCCTGCCGGTGTGTCGAACAGGAAGGGAACGCGAGACTCGCATATGATGTCGGGGCGAAACCCGGTCGCGGGGGGAAAAACATATTCACGCAACCCGAATATCCGGGGTTTCCCGCAACCTCCGCCCCGCGGGGGCGCCCGCACTTTTCCTTCCGGTCCCCGCAGAGAGATAATGGGAAGAATATGAGGCTCAGAACAAAAACAAAACAAAAAAATTGAGAACGAGCCAAGAGGAGGAGGAATGAAAAAGAGAAAAAAAACAAAGGCCGCCGAATATCGGTCGGTTACGCAAAATGAAGGCGCCGTTACGTGGCGGCCGTGGTATAAAGGCAGTGGCGAAGAGTGCTGGGGTCTGTCAGAAGATCCAGAGCCTCCGACAGGGTTTGGTGCTGGGACCAACATACAGCGAGCAATTCGACATTTTTTTGAGAGAGAAAATAAAATTGAAAGTGCGTTTTTCATCATCAGTGTGCAATCATAATTCCCGGCGATTTTCTGGATTCCTGCGGTGAATTTTCGAGGAATTGTCAACATGGTGAACGCTAAGGTGAGCGAAACTTTTCGAGTGGTGGAAATTCATCTGTTGAAAAAGAGAAGCAAAACTATATTTCGAATACAGTATATATAAAGTCAACGCTTTGAATCTCAAGAAATATAACTCGTGAAAAACAAATTAATTCCAGGATTGAATCTCTCCCGAAAAATGGCCAATCAATCTTGAATTATGTTTACGAGAACAGAAATGAATTTCACGGGAGATTTAAACCGAAAGCTTGAATTTGAACTGCAAAAAACATCAATAAAGTCAACCAGCGAGGAAAACATTCGTGATAAAACGAATAATCGTCAAGACGACCGATCGAACTTTGGTAAAATGAAATCCAAACCGATTTCAAAATGCCTTTATATTGATTTAAAAAACTTTGAAACCATGTTATAGTACTTTCAAATTTTAGAATCGATCATGACATTTTATTCAAAACTATAAAATTAGTTTCGAAAAATCTTGAAATAATAATTCCAAATGGAAGAAGTCTGAAAATCTAGAATAAATTTCGATTAAATATCTACCATTTGTTTGCACGAAAATCACAAGTTTAATTTCGAGTTTATTTTTTAAATCCAGTGGAACAAAATCCTGGAAATTCTTCTGACAATGCTGGTGACAAACAAAATTTCTTGAAGCTGTCATCTCGTGATTCACGCCTCTAAAAATTTTGTTTCCAGAGAAAACTACAAAACCAAAAATCCAGTCACTCAAGAGATTGACTGACTGCGTGAAGATATTTTATAAATCAAATTTTTAAAAATGCGTAAAGATGCCATGAAGCGTATTTCGGGCAAAACTTTTAATGATTTTAGATTTCGAAACATAAGATGCCTTATTATTCCTCGAATAGTCCGTTTAATTCTTGTGATTTCCGACACATTTTCCACCCAGATTTTGTTCGCATTCGCCTTGTGCGTCGTTTTGGTAGTCTTGACTTCAGCCGAGCCTGAACCTGACGCAGCTCCCTCCGGATATTCATCATCTTCTGGTGCCAGTTCTTATAAGAAACCAGCTGTGAAGTAAGTGGATTTCAGTGATTAGACACTCTGACGAATTTCCTTTACGAGCTGGGAAATTGCGGGTACCGTATAATGCTGAGTATTGAACATTTTAATTTTCTGGCACGATTGTGAATAGCTTTGAAAATTGCGGAAATCCCACCGTTATAAGAACCCCTGCTGTCGAACTCTCATCATATCTGGACTTCAATTGTTCGAAAATTCAGCGCCATGAAACACGATTTTGGATTCTTCAAAATTACAAACCCACGGAAATGAATGTTGAAACCTCACGTTTTTGTCAAGATTCAGTTGTAGAAAAACAATTTTTGAGTTCGCTATATATGGAAAGTTAAAAGCGAAAATTCTCCGGGATTTCAATTGTTTGAAAATCGAGCGCTGAAAACTCGATTTTGGCTTCTTCAGAATTAAAAACCTCTACAGAAATAAATATTGGAACCTCATGTTTTTTTTTGTCAGAATACTTCAGTTTGAGAAAACGAAGAGTTTTGTACTATAAAATGGAATTTCCTGAACAGAAATTCTCCAGGACCAGCATATATTTTTTCTTTTAGAAATTGAGCGCCAAACATTCAGTTTTGGATTGATTAGAATCGCAAACATGGAGATATATATATTGGAACTTCATTTTTCTAATTTCAGCAATTTATTAATATAAAATGGATTTGGTAAGGAAATATTCTTCAGGTCTTTAATTGTATAAAAAGGGAGCGCTTATGGCTTGATTTTTGATTCCTCAGAATAACAAACCTGTAGAAATGAACATTGGAACCTCATGTTTTGTCGGAATTCAGTTTTTAAAAATATCATGTACATTTTCTATAATAATTATAGTAGATTAAAAAATTAATCTANACGGACACAAGCATGGCCACAAGCACGGCCACAAGCACGCCCACCAACACCCGCAGCCCCAGTATTCCAGCAGCTCTGGTGGCTCTTCTGGCTACAAAAAGTAATTATCCTAATCCCCCCCATTTCCTGCTCATAAAATTTAAAATAAAAAAAATCACAGGCAGAACAAATATCTAAACATGCCTTATTCAGCCTTCTGTTCTTACATTTATTCAGATTTTAATGATTTCACGGATGCCCGAAATTCAAGGGCCTGGCTTTTCGGAGACTTGCAGCGTTTACAAGGAAACATTTCGAATTCACCCGATCATTAGTAGAATCGTGAAATTCTTTTTCACGAGAAAAAAAGAAATTCCAGCTATAAAATCTAAATTTTTCCTACACAGAAATCTTTTGAAAGTCCTATGAATTGTATAAGAAAATGTTTTCCTCCGTTTTATGACTTTCTTATATTTTCTTCCCCCATCAGGTGGTAAATTGAAGTCCTGTGTCGACGTCATCACTGCAGAAGCTGTGGCTGTAAAAGTTTCCAACGAAAACAAAACTGCATCAACAATCTCAGTCATTTGCTCAAATCCCATTCCAATCTTTAGTGAGAGTTTGTAAGTGGTAATTTTTTGTATTTTTCCCACGTTTTTTTTTTTCATCAGAGAGAACCTGAAATCACTCAAAAGTGACAATATTTCGTCCAGTGTATCATTTTTTTTTCCAAGCTCGTTCTTTTACATATTTCTGACCACTTTTTATGGAGCTTCTTTCGATTGCAGATGTGCACGGAAAGGTTATTCTAGTCCTAGTGTTGAAAGAAAAATGTCAATCTGCAATATTATTCGCACAGCAAAGTTTCTGACCTATGTAAAAAAAAAAACGGAATCCGATTCTAGTTGAAAAAAGCAATCCGACAGTATTACAATTCAGCACGCTTTTTTCACGTACAGTATTATATAGAGAAGCACCTCAAGTATTTTTTTCTGGTCAGCAAAAACGGTGGTTACAAAAGAGATCTTCTTCGTGAAGGGCTCGCAAAAACTCAGGTTCGTATTTTCCATGCAAAAAAAAATACTTTTATTTTTCAAAATGGAAAGTATATTGTTCCTGTATAATCGTTGACACTATACACTTGTCTTGCTGTGCGCGTCGTTTTTTTGCCTTGGTTGGCATTTTGTTCCTGTTATTGTGGCGAAACTGGGGCGGGAAATAAAAATACCCGGCAAGTTTTCCAAAAAAACCTTTGTGACTTTATTTTATTTCTTCCTATATTCCCAATTTATAAAGGTTCGTCGGAAAAATCAAAATTCTGAACTCGGTTCCAGATTGCGGAAATTGATCAATTTCTCCACGAAAACTAAAAATCTTTATTCCCCCTGAAAATCAGTTGCTTCCCTCTGAATTTCGGAAAACTTCAGAATTTAAGCTTCGGAAAATTCGTGTGAATTTTGCCAGTTTTTATGATCAGGTGATAACTTCATGACGAGAATAAGACTTCGTGGGATATAAAAAAGAATTCTTCTGCGCTAGAATACTTCCGTATCTTACTACATAATTTTATAGTTATCATTCAAACTGCAAAAGAGATCTGGCGAGTTCGTTCAGTAGTTCGTAAAATATACTCTTTCAAAGCAGCCGTTCAAGCAGAAAAGAAAATTGAGGTGTTGAGAAGTTTCGAAAACCTAACGAAGCAGAAAGACAATAAAAATACGTGCTGTTAGTTATTCATCATGATACGAAGCTTTCGAATATTTTGTAAAGGAAAATGTTTTCTTCTCATATAGCCGCATAATTCGTTTTTATACGGTCAGCCTGCATCATTAATATTGCGAAGGTCTGATTATGTGGAATTTTTCCATTTAAAGCAAAATGTTGAATTTTCGCTCTTATAAAATTTGCATTGGCTCGAAATTCCTGCCAAGAACTTACTTGGTTAAACAAAACTGCTCGACTACGAGATTTTATAATCCTTTTTTGCCTTCATTTGCTTTAGAGTTTAGATCAGCGTTCTCCAACCTTTTTGGGCCTACAGAAAGTGCAGACTGGAAAATTGCTGAAACATTTTTACAGACTGGCAAATTTCCCCAAAATGCTATGCAGAATTGCGAAGTTTTGTAAAACTTTTGCAGAAAGCTTTATGGTAGGCATTTAAAAGTTTCTGATTTTTTTCCAAATAGTAAGATCCAATGAAGCAGGAATGTTTAAATGGAAAACATAATAAGTGGAATGTTAAAAAAAAAATAGAAAGGTGGGCGTGAAGAAAGGTGTCTTTGAATGAAAGATACATAATGTATTTTTCATTTTTTTGTTAGAGGCAAAATATGGTCGTAAAAAAGTGTATAATTGTTTTTGATCAACGTTACAATAATAAGTTTCAATATTTCCTTGAATAACGGATGTAAACAAGTTTTTTATTGTGAAAATGAATCAGGGTTCTCAAATTAAATAAGTTGCTGTCCCTGAGAACTCAACTAAATACGAACTCCGTGTATAAGTAAATTCATATTTAAAATTTTAAAAACTTCTTTGAATGAAAGGCCATTTATTTGGTAACAAATTTAAAAAGAAATAAATTTGAACCCCATTAGCTCCAACCGCCCTTCGTGGAATATTTCCTTCTGTCAAATTTTTTAAAGATCCTGTTTGAATTCCCTTTGAAAGAATGCATTACAAACTTCTCAACTTCTAGGCTTTCCTTCTCAAAACTCCATAACTCAAATTTTCTGGAAGCCTTTCCGTGATTATTTTACTGGCACACGGAAGAGAAAAGCAATGAAAATATAACTTGAAAATCTTTGAAAGGATTCATATTCTTATTTGAAACCTCAACCTTAAATCAAATTTTTGTGCTCGGCCATTTTCGAATTTCTTCTCGTGGATATTCAACTGTAAAACGATGATACAGTATATACAGCAGCACCAAAGGATTTAAAGAATCATGAGGCAAAAAAACAACAAAACAGGAATAAAATAAAATGAAATTGAAACGCCCTCTTCATCAAAAACATTTTTACCATGCATTCGGGAAGTTGCAACTGCTGCAGCTGTGAGAAGCTGATTTTGGCTTTTTTTTTCTCTGG